AGAATCTTAAGAAAGTGTCAGAACAAATTTGACTGTCTTATTTTTGAAATGTTTTTTATCCAAGAACTGAAACCGACGCTTAACAAACAGTGCGATTCAATTCGCGCCAAATTATTTGTTTAGAGCAGTTCTTATTAACATTGTTTTATTTCCATTGTTTTTTGACTTTATAAATATTTTTAGCACTTTTTACATTTTTACATATTTTACCACATTTTAGCGTTCACCACATTTTTATCTATTATAACTTGTTTTAACTTATTTATGCTAATTTAGAGAACTTTTATACACTTGAAAATGACCTCGGAGAGGTCGAAACGTCGTGATTTTTTATCGCTAATATTTATCTTAAAATAGAAATAATTACCATTAATAATATTATTACTAGTAGTAATTATTAATTAATATTGTGTATTTTTTAATTTGTTAACTCTGAGTGACCACACTGGAACAGTTCAACAAGAGAATCTAAGTTTCTTTGTTTGTTAATAGACGTGATCATGCCTGAGATGTTTGAAGTTAAGTATTAAGATTGCACCTTTTTTATCAGTATTTTCAGAGTGGTCTGTTTCCATGGTAATGTCTTGCGGCCTAGTATCTGCATTAGTTTCAGATGGAATGTCTCCATCTCCACTGTCTGACTGTTCTGAGCTTGAAACGTGCTGCCTTCCCTCACTTGTTTCCATTGCACTATAGTAAAAGTGGATGAAAAAAATGGAAAGTTTTGTGCCAGAAAAACAAAGTAAAATTAAGACAAAATAATGTTGGTTTTGTGCCCAATCTACAAATTAAAACTATTTTTATTCTTTTGTTCTGCTTCATTAAGAACAGATCATTCATAGTTAAAAATTTTCAGCTGCTCACCTGTACTCATCTTCTTGGAACTTGACACCGTCTGTGGGTGAATATGTCAAATCAGGCAAATCTTCTGAAAGAGACATTTGAATTATGCATAAGTTTACCTTCCTTTACTTGTAAACCTTGAGTTTTCATTGGGGATTACAAATAGGAAGATTCAGGGTAAAAATATATTATGATACATTTTAAAAATCATACATTTCTTTGTATCATAAATTTTTTTCACCATGAATCCTCCCATTTGGGTCACATTTCACATTATTTTGTTGTTTTATAAAATAACAGTCTGAGGGATTTTTTGTAGTATTAATTTATAATCATCCATTTGCATTTTTATCCCCGTCACCACATATCTAGAATTCCTGTCCCCCAGGGATTTGGCTGAATTTGAGAGAATGAGAGTAAATGAATAAGGGAATATCTTTGGAGAACAAAGTTAGGTAGGATTCAAAACATGCACTAGGATAAAGTTAAAAAAAAAACACCTTTACCTTTTGGTCTGATGTATCCATATTTTTCCAAATGAGATTCTAACTCATTTATTTGCTCTTTTGTTTGTGTCATGAGCCTACCACATGCAGAAATGAAGTCTCCAAATATGTGTCTCTGCTGAACATCTTTAACTTTGTCATTAACCTCTTTCTAATTTTGAAAAATATAAGAATACCAGCTGCTACTATTTCACCCAAAACATGAAAACAAATGAATACCATAATCATTTTAATTGCACCCACAACAGGTTGAAAATCTTGTTAAATACAGGTGCAACTTTTAAGTTTTAAATTTTTAAGTTACAACTGAGTTAATAAAAAACATTCATGACTCCTACTCCTCATTTGTATTTATGACATCTACGTAATACAAAGACGCTTCTAGTAGGACCAACTCTTCTCATTGTGAACATATTGTGATGGGCAGACACTCTGCAGACACTTTGCTCTGCCCTGTTGGTTTCCATAGTAGAGGTTTGATGATACTTTCTCCAAAATTAAAAAATAATTGTCTTTAGCTCGAACATTTCATCATATGCATTAGTCATAACTACAAGTAGTAAACGTAAGGTGTACCTTTCTGCAAATTTAAATGAGTTTCCGGCCGAAATTAATAAACCACCCCCTGAAACCACCGGATGCAAACTATATAATACTGTAATACAATCTGTCAGTACTAGGCTGAAATGTAATAGTAAAGTTTTAGCTAGCCTGCACTGTAGATCTGAAGTGCTACACAACCAAGCAATGAACTTCTCTAAAAATTCATTCAACGAACAAATTATCGATTTTTGATGGTCTAGTTGTTTGCAGTTAACGTTTATATAAACTTAAGTTATTTTAATAAAAGCTTTAAGGTTAATTTTCAGCTGCTTATTTTTTTTTATCATTAGCTAATACCTTGACGTCTTTGACCTCCGCTAGAGTTTCTCGTAACAGAAGGCAGGCACGATTTTCATCGTAAGCCGAAATTTCCGAGTCTTCTAAAATCCCTTTTAGTTCACTGGATTCCTTATCAACTGTGACTGCAAGCTTCCGTAGCCGACTAAAAAATTCGTCACAAGAAGACATTTTGTTTTGAGATTCAAAAGCGCGCTCTTTTACACCAAACGTCATGTAATTGTCATGAAACATAACAAAGCCGTTAGGACCCAGGCCTCTGTGTGTTTTGACCAAGATGGCGGCTTCACCTACGATTTTTCTACGTTTCACTTTCAGCTGTTTCATTTTAAAGTGATGTATTTTGTGCTCAATTGAAAGAACATAAATCAAATCTAGATACAGCTACTGATATTTCTCCTTCACAAAATGTCCGTTATTCTTGAAACAACGCTGGGAGATATTGTCATCGACCTGTTTACTAACGAGAGACCCCGAGGTAAGAAGCCCGGCCGGGGTAAGAAGACACTTTCAAGTGTTTTTGTTGTTGTAGTTGTTGTTGTTAGGTGATCCTTTAACCCCTAAACGTGCTTTTTAAACTAATTAAGGGAGTATATCTTTGTTTGGTTGTCCAAATACCTATCAGGTTTGAGCTTTATTTGACGACGTCGGTAGCTAGGGGTTTACAGTACCGTTCAAAAGTAAGTTGACAGTCACTCGCGTCTCGATCCTCGAGACGCGGGACTCGATGTAAGTTTTTATTTCAAAAGTTTGATGTAAAAACCTTGAACATTGTTTCCACAGCTTGCCTCAACTTCTTAAAACTATGCAAAATAAAGTATTATAACTACTGCTTGTTTCATTCTGTACAGGTGAGTGAATATTATTCTACAAACCTTAATGTCTATTCAAGCTTGCTTGTTGATTTTCTGATTACATATTTATTTATCCTGGCAGTCGAGAGACTATACAGGAAATTTTCCAAAATTTACTTTATCAACAAATTGTTCAACTTTGTCTTTGACACTTTTCAGGCTTAGAGTTAACTGTGAAATGGAACACATTATTTTTTGTTTCCTTATGTTTGCTATACAAAATATAATGGTCCCTCATGCTATAAACTGTTCGTCTGTTTGTTTTTTTTTCTTGACACCTATAGCAAAACTTTCTAGCTCAAACTGGAGATCCTACCGGCCGAGGCACTGGAGGAGAGTCTGTTTTCAGGTACTGAAAACCTACATAACACACATTGAAATAAGGGGCTAAAACACCTGCCGAGTGGGTTGGAAACTGCATGCAGAGTCTTTCTCAAGTATGCCAAAAGAAAGGCATGGCTCTGCTGGCAGGGTGACCTGACCCCTTCTGCTGGGACGGATCTAGGGAGGGGGGGAGGGGAGGGTGAGCTTGGGAACCTACTGGGCTTCTATGTTTTAATTACGAGTAGTCCCATGCGCAAGGAACAGCTGGAAGATGGGTTAAGCTTGCATGACTGCTCTGGGCAGGTAAGCTCTAGCAACACATTGCAGAAAGGGCAAGCAAATATTGATTTAATTTTCATCCCACTCTGCCAGAATTCATGACTTACACCATTTTTTTTCATAGTTTTTTATAACTTTGCAACCATGGTATGACTGGTTAATTACATTATGGCAAGTTATGTCTTCTAAATTGCCTCCTCAAGTTACTTTACTGTTAAACAATGAATTGAACATTTGGTTCATTTATTGTGCTAGGTTTCTTTATGGAGATCAAGCTAAATACTTTGATGCTGAGATCAAGCCTCGGATCAAACATAAGAAGAAAGGAACTGTTTCCATGGCAAACAATGGAGACAACTTACATGGTTCTCAAGTGAGATATGACCCAGCTTAGCACATTTCTTACCAGCACAGAAAATTTCCAGAATTTAGGAAAAGTGAAATGTCATATTTTTCTATGCTTATGCTATATGTACTTATCCATGGTTGAGACACTGAACTATTCATGAGCTAAACCAGAAACTTTGAATTAACATTGAATTGAATTTATTATGAAAAGTTTAGCATCTGAGTTTATAATATAAGTAAGAATGGTTCTTTCAGTTACTTTGTGACAACTCCGATTCACACACCAAGTTTACACTAAACGTACTTGTCATGTGCTGAAACTAACATAAGTTGTTAAGTTCAACTAATTAGGTTCTGTGTTTGAGTCAATGGAGTGACATACTTTTGTTGATTTTGTCTGCCTAAATTCAATAAATTTTGGTGCATGAAAAGTTTGACATCTAAAACTAGTCTTTCTTCTCAATAAAGATAATGTTCAGTGATTCTTTTACCTGAACTAGAACTCTTGACCAAAAACGATAAAGATGAAGGTAGCGGTAATTTGTTTAACACCTTTACAACCAAAGCTTGTTACATGTAGCTCTCATCTTCTGGTCATCTGCACTTGTTGCTCATCTATTGCTTATATCAGTCAAGTAGCACACTTGCAAGCATTAATATTTGAAAATATGTTTCAGTTTTTCATTACCCTTGGTGATGATCTGGATTACCTTGATGGTGTTCACACTGTGTTTGCTGAAGTTGTTGAAGGATTTGAAGTCCTGGAGAAACTGAGTGATGCTATATGTGATGATGGGCACAGACCTTACCAAGATATCAGGTAGCAGCACTTTACACCAACTACCCAGCGAGCACACAGCTGGTGATCAGATCCTCTTTAATATTTATTATTGGAATAAAAGAAGAAGAATACAAATAGCCCCACCTGACCTGCTTGTATACTGTACCACAACTGTCACAACATGAAATAAACGTGCTGTATACATGTATCCCTGGTGGGGGGGTGGGGGGGGGGGATTACTCCCATATAGAAGAGACAAGGACGCTTGTCATTGGAGAATACAATGTAAAGCTCAAAATGAGACCATTGTGGGGGTGGCTCTGCAGGCTTCAATTATTGACCTCTAATGGAGGACATGCTGGAACAGAATGACATACTTCCTTCTTGGGAATCTAGTACACATGAGAAACAATGGGACAGGATATATCCCTGTCATACTCCTTTGTTAGTCAGTTCTCTTATTCCAATTTTTATCGCACATTTTTATCTTGAATGCATGTTAGAGATGAAATGATAAAAACTTGCTGCCTACATGTATCTTGTTGTTAAGCAGTTTATATAGCAGACCATTAAGCCACACAGAAAATTAATGAAGCAATATAATAATTTTTCTTTGTTTGCATTAACTACATAGTTTACTTGTTAATTAGTGTTCTTAAATGGAAAATGTGATCAGTTGTTCTAAAAACTTTAATGAAGACAATTTGAGATGAATTTATAAAAGTTATTATTTTTCTTGAACAAAATTGCTTACCGGTAATCCTTTATTCAGTAAAAAAGAGAATAGCTTCCTTAGACAGCTGGTTACGCGGCATTCTGTAAAAATGGAATGTTCATACACTCTTGTCACCTAATTTGAATATAGGGCTTATCATGGTAAGCCACAGAACTAAGCATCTGGATGATTTCCAGTTCTCAGTATATTCAATTCTTTTGTTGAACAGGATAAACCACACTGTGATCTTGGATGACCCATATGATGATCCCAAAGGTCTGGTGATACCTGATCGATCACCAGAACCAACAAAGGAACAACTTGATGTAAGATGATTATCCACCATTCTAACTGACTGTGCTATAGCTATTCCATGTTCCATTGGAAACTGACGTCTCACCATGATGATCAATGTTGGTTTTTTCAGAGTGGTCGTATTGGTGCTGATGAGGAAATTGATGATACCAAAGGTAAAACAATGGAAGAAATAGATGAAATGATTGAAGAAAGAGAGCTCAAAGCTGGAACACAGATTCTTGAAATGGTAATTTAGAAAATAGTTCAGTTACAGCATTAAAACCTTGATATGGAGCTACATTGTATTTCACTTTAGTCAACACTTAAGGCCTAATACTAACTGGGGCCTGTTTCTCAAAAGTCCCAATAAGTTTCCAGGCCCGAAAAGCTGTTTTGTGTTTGTCTTGTTTGCATTCAAGATCAAGGCTCCAATAATTTTCAAAATCATAGAATAAAAATATCAGTTAACGAAGCAAAATTGACTGGTTTGTGAGCTAGGAACTGTGCTACTATTCAACAGGTTTTGACTTTAAAATTTACCTTCGGGCCTGAAACTTTTCCAGTCCTTTTAAGAAACAGGTCCCTGGTCTGCCTGCCTTGAGAGAGTTACTTGCAACTTCACACAATTACATAAATTTATAAAATAATCTACATGTAGGTGGCTAAAAACCTTTTTTATTTTGAAATGATCTTTCTCTAAGATTGTACAGCCCAGAGCGTGACAGATTTTCCCAGATCACTATCCTTCATCTCACTGCTGTTCACTAAATGTGATAACTAATAGCGGTTGCACACCAATAATATAAAGCCAGCAGTGAACCTTATCACTGTTTATGGTGGTGGTGGCAACCAAGATCAGTGCAGCCATCAGGTGTGTTCAAGGGTAAAAAACACCTTGAGCATGTATTAACACTGCAACACTGCTGTCTCCAGTGCTCAGACATGAGTGCCTCATCATGCAAGCGTTGTCTGAGGCATTTTTGTAACACTACTAGCCGTTAACAACATCAATTTAAAATCAAAACATTTTAATTAAACAAAAAATAATCAACATTTACACTTAATTCACACTTAATTTCGCAAGTATTAAATTTCACAAAAAATCATAAGCCATAATAATATTATTTCACAAATATTTAATTTTGCGCTTTTTAATGAAAGGTAGAATTGGAGTGTATTAAATTTCATGATTTTTCTATTCTTTACTTTGACCCCAGAGGACTAAAAATTGAATTCATAATTTTATCAAAACAACAGCAAACAAAGACAATTCCAAACAAATCAACAAACAAGCTAAATATAACAATGCATAAGCTGTTCAAAAGTCTAAATGGGTACAGCAAATAGTTATATGTAGTAAATATTTACACTCTGATAACTTCGTTCTTATAATGTTTATAATGTTAGACATAATATGGAGGTCCTTATTCTGTCCATATACCTCTACATCACTTATACTTCTATATCTGGTATTAAATTTCATGATTTTAATCTTCGCTAGTATTAAGTTTCCTGACTTTTCCCAAATCACGAAAATCTCTAAATTTAATACTCACGAAATTGAGCAAGAATAAGGTAACTTCACCTTTGGCAGCCAGAAATTATGATTATAATTAACAGGAAAAAAAGGGAATAGGGAGAGAGAGCCAATTCTCTTGCCCTCATACAAAGGCCATTCTGGTTTGATGAGTCTCACAGAAACCAAGTGTTGAGAATTGAGACGGAACAATTGAGAATCGAGTCTTGATTCTCTACTCAGTTCTCAATTGAGCGGTACTGTATCTTCCCCTCTTGTCCCCTTTTTTACGCCAGCCACTTTATTTTTCCATAGTCATTAAGGAGACAAAACTTTTGTCTTGTGAACTAACTCACATAATGTTAAGAGTAAGTTCATTCTTGTAAAATAATTTTCATTGACTTTCTTCATGGCTTCAGGTTGGTGATATTCCAGATGCTGACATTAAACCCCCTGACAATGTCCTGTTTGTCTGTAAACTTAACCCTGTCACTCAAGATGAAGATTTAGAGATAATATTTGGCAGATTTGGACCCATTAAAAGGTAAAACATCTCTTTTCTGTTTTTGTATCATACACTACCATTATAGGCCCTTTGCAGTCGGGGTCACATGACCTTTCTCATGCCAAAATTATGGGATACAACCCTAAAAATACCAGAGATTGAAAAGCATAAAACAAAAGTGAGTCTGCCAATACTTTTAAAGAATTAACTCTTAACAGTGCGAATTTATGATGGCTTCAGTCAACAGTGCCCCAGGAGACTATACTGTATAACATGTATCAATGGAAAAGGTGCTTAACAACACGCCTTGTGGTTCAGCAATTTGTTTTTGCCATTAAGACCCTTATTAGCCAAAATTGGCTTTTTTTTAGTTGATTTTCTCATGTTCTTTTCTTCTCTGGTATTTGTTGTATTTTTTGTAGCTGTGAAGTTATAAGAGACCAGAAGTCTGGGGAGTCACTGCAGTATGCTTTCATCGAGTTTGAGAATGTAAGTTCTGTTTCCTTTTGCTTCTTCCCTCTATTTTCCTCCATTTCACAAATGGTGGTAATTTATAGCTAGGAGATTGCCCTGATCAAGGACAGGCGTAGGCTCACCCTTGTCTCTGGTTGGGGAGTACTGCGGGCGCATCAAGACACCCACGGCTTTAGGAGATTGAGCCTCGAACAGGCGTGGAGAAATCAGTTTACTCTTGGTGGCGGTTGATTAAGCTAATGAAGTCAGTTTGTGGAACAAAATTTGTATGTTCCAGTTTGTTGCAAGTTTCCCTAGAAGATTGCTTCCCCTCTTTTTTGGAGAAGAGTTGTCCCTGGAAAGAGGATCACCCTCCCAGTCAATTCAACTTTAACGAGCGTTTATATGAGAAACCATTTGTCCTCTTTGCCCGATCCAAGAGCCATCGACAGTGCCTGCCCAGGCTCTGATTGTCTTGCCTTAACTGAGTTGACCCGGCTAGGAGAGTTGAGGTGTTTTATGGAGAAAAGTGTGACCCGACTAGGTAGATCACACTACTAGCCGAGCCAACTAGTTAATTCTCGTGTAAATGGTTCGTCAAGTTTTATAAGGAAATGTATCAAAAATTGGCTCGGTAGTTCGGGTAGGCGGGCGACTCTTCCACCCAGGACGAGTTTTCTCAATACAAGGGTTGCCTTACTAGCAAAGCAAAACCGAATGATCATAATAATTCTTACTTAGTTCTAATATAATTATGACTGACAGTTGCGTGAATATTCAATTCCGCCTCTATTCAGAGAAAAACGTTGTTACCAACAATTTGAGATCGACAAAAAGCAACTTTCTTGGCTTTTTGCTGTCCTTTTCTTAGGTTGAAGACTGTGAACGTGCTTACTTCAAAATGGACAATGTGCTGATCGACGACCGGCGAATTCATGTTGATTTTTCCCAGTCTGTTGCAAAAGTCAAGTTTCAGAAGCAGGGTAATACAATGTACATTGGGCAAAGTAGGAAAAAAATTCTTGGTTGATGGTTAATTAAACCTTTTCAATTTGTTTCACAAAATACAGAATGAACCGTTCTAATCACTTTTTTTTTTTTTAATTTTTCCTTTCAACATTTCTTGGAATCCGGACGTTTCGTACCCATGGACGTTTCGTACCCAGACGATTCGTACCCAAAGTTGAGATGATTCGTACCCAACGCTAAGATGATTCGTACCCAAAGCTTAGTTGATTCGTACCCAACTGCCGTTTTGATAGTAAAACATTTTTAATCATATCTATCACAAAACAATCTAAAATAAACATTTATATAAATCAGAACGACTCGTTACCTACGCGCGAGTTAGATCAAATTATAACCACCGCTCACTTTTATTTGCATAGACTCGTGACGCGTGAGCGGCGCAGATACTAAAGGAGGTGAGACTCTTCATTAACATACAACTCAAAAGGAAATGGTACTTACACGAAATTAGCTTGTTCCCACTTTTCACGGCTGGGTCCAATTTACATGTCGATGTTTGAACTTGTCGAATCATAAACTTTTGTTAGTTCATGCGCTTTCACACGATCCATTTTGCTAACTCGTTCGCTCTCACGCGAGTTAGGTGAAATTAACCACCGCTCACTTTCTTTGTGTAGACTCGTGACGCGTGAGCGGCGCCGATGCAAATTTCCCTTTCGTAAACGGTCGTTGCCATTTGAAGCGGTCGATGCCATTTCTCAGAACGGTCGTTGCCATTTGAAACGGTCGATGCCATTTCTCAGAACGGTCGATGCCATCGTAAAGGTCGATGCCAAGAAGGAACCGATATTTCCGACTCTCTCCGACGACATGCGTGACAATCAGAGCAATGCGTGACTAGCTTTCCTACAAACCATCGCGATTTTTATCAAATCAAAATGGCGGACAAACCCGACAATTTTCTCAAAGATCTAATATCTTCAGCTATAAAAGAAGTCGAATCGAAAAGTAAATCTTTTGAATCGACCGAAATTACAAAGGAGAGTTTTCTGGCTTCGCTTCCAGATGATTCATTTTACTACCTGAAGGCAATTTCAGGAAATGGAGAAAAGTTCAAAGTGCACTTTTTGACCGAAGATATAACGAAAGAAAACCTGGAGCAGTGGATATCCGAATATGAAGTGATAAACAGCATCTCAGTGAAGTTAAAGACAAAGAAGGCACCAACAAGCGGCTATGTGTTGCAAAACTACTATAGATGCCAACACAACACTCGCAACTGGAGTCCAAGTAAAGATCCACAGCAGAAATTGTACTTGAACCCATCTGCCAGAGTAAAGAACACCAATTGCCCCTTTCAGATGATAGTCAAANGGTTATTGCATGGGTATGAATCATCTAAGCTTTGGGTACGAATCATCTTAGCGTTGGGTACGAATCATCTCAACTTTGGGTACGAATCGTCTGGGTACGAAACGTCCGTGGGTACGAAACGTCCGGTAAGCCATTTCTTAACATTAGCACTAATTTTCTACGACATATTCTTTCCTATATTATGTAAATGAAAAAGAATTTAGTTTTAGTTGAAGTTTTTTTGTAGCTTAAGAATTGTCGAGTGTTTGAAAAGGTAAAATCAATTTTATCTCGTCGCCTATGCAAAGACGAAGCATTTAAGAATAACGTAACGTATTTGAGTGTCAATGTATTTCGCACGAAAGTACTTATTGAGGACACTACTTTTATGTCTCCAACTAGAGACGGGACTACATGTACTGACCTGTACTCGAGCCACACGAAGATCTAGCTATTTTCAGTACAAATTACTTTGATTTCTCGCTGATGCTTAGCAATCAAACTATTTTCGTCTAGTTGGTTTGTTATTTTTGTTGAACATAATTATTTCAAGCTTATATTGATCACTCTCGGGGCTGTTTCGTTGATGAAACATATTTTTTTGACACAGGGGCAAAACCAGTCTTCCCAGGCAAGGATGATAAAGACAAACCTAAATTTGCTTTAAAACAAAGCAAAGAAAGCAGCAAGTATCCTTTATAAGCTTGCTTTCTGAAAGCAATTGAGTTATTGTCTGTCTAGGCCCCTCTTGTGTCAGTTATTTGTTTTTGTTTGTTGTTACGTTAGCACACATTAGAGATGAGGAGCTGCAATTCGATGGTTTCACCTTGAGCACAACTACAATCAATCTTCATGTTTTTGGCGATTAGGAGTTTTCACACCTAAAGGGTAACCACAGGGTCCAGAGGAGATATGTTTGTCGTCAGAACATCAAAACCCGTCGAAAACCTCTGAAAAAATGGGTTATTTTGATCGCGTTACAGTTTCATTACACATTCTATAGACCGCAAACCAAGAGACTGAGGGCTCGCAAGATCGGCTTACAGTATAGATCGTTTTCACTGTCACGCAACAAAAAAATAAATTGGAAACCGTCCAGTGGAAGAAGCCAAGAAAATGAAATGTTGTAAAAGACTAATATATAAACAATTTGTCCAAGTCTCAGGTCTTTGTGGCCCACAGTTTCTAAGTTATATGCCTAAACGTTTCACGCACCTTTGTAGAGCTTTGTATGGAGACGCCATATTGGTGCACCGTTTTGGTGCACCAATATGGCCGTCGGAAATCAACAAAAACATCTGGAGTTCACGTTTTCTATAAAAGCTCTTTCTTTTCACTCGAGAACTAGCATGCGTGCGCATAAACATATCTTCTAACACTTGAAGTGGCTATACTGCTGAAAATCAAGAGGAGAGACTTTTTTTCAACGAGACAGCATTCCTATTTTGGCGTCACGCACCGTGAAAACTCGGAAGTTCAAATTGCTGTATTTTCGAAACGAAACATGCTACGGAAATGGAAACTTGTACAAAGATTAACTTTTTGATTATCTTCAACCTAGTGTAATGAAGAATTCGAAAAACCTCGCTATTTTGACTTTACAATTTGACGACGTCACAGTGAAAACCATCTATAAAATACGGAAAGGGAGGAAACAAATTTGGGGCCGATTTTCGAATCCCTTTCTTTTACTCGGCTCTTCGTGCCTCGGTAGCCCTTCCGGCGACGACCTTCGGTCACCCTTCGGGCGACGTGCCGTGCGCCAGCGAGGATATGGCTTGCGGTTATTGATTTTCAAAAGTCGATCTGGGTCAGATAAGAAGCAAAGAAATTGTTTACAGTAGATTTATAAAGATCCCATTGGGCTAATTAATCGTATTAAGCGACAGGTATAGACATTTTTCAAAGTGAGACTTTAAATAAGTAATTCATTTATTCACACGAAACTCCTCTGGACCCTGTAACTACCGACAAAGACATTTTGCGTCAGTTAAATTTTAGTTTGGGGAGGAGTAGGTTGGCAGTTTTCCAAAATCTTACCCTGATACAGCCCAATCTGCACAAGGAACAAAAACGTGATACTCGTTTTTTCCGCCAATGTGGGATGATGCGCAAGCATTGTTATCGCCAAAATTTGATTCTTCTGCGCATGCGTTTGTCACGTTGTGCTCATACTTCTAATAAGTGGGTATTCCCTTGTATGAATGCTTGTATCGTTGTTGTGGATCAGGTTTTCAGTGACATTCGATTTTGTCCAAATTTTTTGGTCAGTGAACCAAATTATGTTTTGTGACCGTATTATCAGTTCTTTCACATCCATTCTCCTTCCCAGTGCTGCGATCCTTTTGGTCAGCATCGGCGAAGGTCACAGTTCTGGAATCGAGAATGTTTCACATGGTACTATTTGTATTGCAGTACGCCAAATGAAACTCGGAGATTTTCTCTAATTTCTATTTCAGCAGTCCTAGGTATGAATGCGTTAATTTCTTGACTCCTGCCAAGTTACGATTTAGTATTTGATGATGATGGATACGATGGAGGAAAAGCTGCAGAGAAAAGAAAGAAACGTAAAGAACAGGACTACAGTGATGATGAATACGGGAATTCAAGGAGCGAGGTAAAGCGCGGTGGATCAAGGGGACGGGAAAATAGAGGGGAGGAGAAGGGGAGGAGAAGAGAAAAAAGAACAAGTTTTAGCAGCAGTGATGAGGAAGGAAGAGAAAAAAGGAAAATAGAGAAACGGGAAAGGCGAAGAAGTCCAGGAAACAGTGACGAGAACAGAAGGGAAAAAAGAAAGAATGAAAATCGGGAGAGACATAGAAGTAATAGTAGCAGCGATGGCGAAAGAAGGGAGAAACGAAAAAGAGAAAATCGTGAGAGACGTAGAGAAGCAAGTAGCAGTGAAGGCGATGGAAGAATAGAAAGAAAAAAGAACTCACAGGCAGGAGATTACTCTAGAAGTCACAAGGTACGTTTTTAAACAAGCTTTTTTAACGTAAAGGAGCGGGCAGTAGTTCTTCACGCTATTTTACATATCCGGTTTTGCTAGAAGCGGAGGTATAGAAAGTGGTGAGGAAAAAGGTTACGCAACAGAGAAGACACTCAAGATATTTCTTTGAACCCTTTTCAGCATCGGCCATATTTTTTTTCCACGAATTTAATAGATTTCTTTGTTCTTCTTTTTTATGATTACTGGAGTACAGACTATTCATCGCCAAATAAGAAGCTCGTGTCTTCTAAGAGGTCTTTTTTTCCTTTTTGAAATCTGAGGGGCCTTTTTTGTTTGACGCTGCCTTTTTCATTTACAATATGACACTGTTTTCAAAACTATTTCAGGACAATCGAGGAAAGTATCCATCAGAGTCTGCAACCAAAGATAGGAGAGAGAGGTAACTTGGGCAGCCATTTTTAATGAGCAGCCAATGAATGATTGAATTTTTCTCTCTCATTCTCAGTTATGAAGTTACCACCAGAACATTGTAGTCATCTCATTGTATAAGAGGCCATTCGCCATTTTAGAAACTAAACGGAAACTGGGACAAGTTAACTTTTGCAAAGACTTCTGGGACTGTTACTAGGGACAGAGAAAAAAAATTGGCCAATGGCACGTCCCCAGTAACGATCCCAGAGGTCTTTGCGTGTCTAACTTGGCCCAGGTTCTTTCCCAATTCTAAAGTAGCGAATGGGTAAAACCGTCTATTAACTTGATTTAGCAGTTCTAGCACCAGCACTGGGTATGTTCCTGTCCCTGTAGGTAAACATAAAAAACTGCCGTACTGAAATTATTGTGATTATTATTATTGTTATCATTATTATTATTATTATTATTATTATTATTATTATTATTATTATTATATTGTTGTCATCATCATTATCATCATCGTCATCTTCATCATCATCATCATCATCATTAGTGTTAGTAAATAGTATCACCTTAAAGTTATACTGACGCATCTGATCCACAACGGAAAGCACTCTGTGTACCTTTGTCATTAGAGAGAAAATGCTGCAATAGTTTTGAAAGTAAAAAATTATTAATTTATTGTCATTGTAATAGGGAGTACTCGCCAAGGAGGAAAGACAAACATTCACCGCACGACCACGCGAAACATTCTGGAGGCCACAAAAGGAAGCAGTCTTCACATGATCATAAGCGTCATTCAAGCCATCGATATTAGGTGGTACGTCAAAAGCCTACAAATAACAATTTTGAAAGATCAGAACGCAGTGGTTTCGCTTGTAAAGCGACAATTTTTAGCGTGTTTAAAACTGACTTACAGCACAGCCGTTGGCTGTCAAACAACCCTTAGCCCGTGAGTAACAGGAAGGAAACGTCAGCGAAAACATTTTTAAAATTCATCAGATGTATGAAGCCAAGCGAGGAAACAAGGTCAACCAGTGGCGAAGCTATGTTTTAACACACTTCTAATGGATCATGGAAAAGCAGTAATCACACCTACATTTCCATCTACAAGGGACATGCGCAAGTTTCAACACACAACTCAGCGGTTTTAAGTGGATTCCGCGTTATGGCCAGTGGTGCAGACATGCGCACAGCCATATCACGTCGTTTGTGGCAGCCGACGTGGACAGCTGTTTCTTAAAAGTCAACCAATCTTTATGGAAAAGCTCGTACAGGCCATTGAGGGTCATGAAATTTAAGAATTTCACTTCCCAGGCCTGACAGTCATGAAATTTGATTGTCGGTCATAAAAAGTCCTGTAAAATTAAAGTTAAATTGGTAGAGTAGTCTCTGCAAATGTCAAAGCAAGGAAAAAGTAAGATAGAGACACGTAATTAAACAGTGCGAACAGTACGCATTTTGGCCTCGAAAAACTCAGAGGCGACAAATTTTTTACGTCATTTCATAGAAAATAAAATCCGTTTAAAAAAGGGAGGGGGACCTGGTTCACGATAATGCGCATGTGTGAGTTCTGACAGTAGCCGATTGTTTTTAAACCAATTGGAAGCGAGTTAGATGTACGCAAGTTAATTTTAATACAGAACTCAAATTCATTGTTCGCGACACGAGAGTTTTTCCAGGCATTTGGTTTCATTTTATATATCCCCATAATTCAAGTTTACGAGGTCGTACCCATGCTAACAAAGCACTCACCGATCGGCAAACAAAATTTGTAAACAAACATTTTATTACTGTTCTCTCAGTTCGCCTTATATAAGAGATTTTATAGATTTAGAAAACTTGTGGGTACCTCTGGAAAAATCCTGGCTACGCCCCCCAAAACCAAAATCTGCCTCTGATATAACTTCCACATCAATTACACTTCACGATAGCGATTCGGGACCTCTAAGCCCTGAAAAAATGAAATAATTTAAACTCACCTTTCAAAGAAAACGTCGACTTCATTCCCGCTTAAGAAAAGACAAGTCAAAGTACGGGTCAATAAAATTGGTTTCAAAGAAAGAAATAACTTTTGACCAGAGATGTAAGGAAAACTTCCGAGGCTACGTTCACTCGGTACCGGACAAAATTTCAACCGGTTAAAAATTCCTGAATGTCTCAAAGTGGTTTTGAATTTATTAAATGTAAAACCATAGCAGCGAAATCCTCTTGTGTTGTCGAACTTTTTTCACAAACAGACTATCAGTAATAATCGTAATGATAGCAATCGGCTCCTGCTAAGAACGA